AGCTCCGTCCCGTTGAACGTGAGCCACCCTGTATACTTCAAAGAGATTTTGTATCTGGAAACGAAATTTGGAGTGTAAATTTATATGTCCTCAAAAGTGGACAAAGTTACTAAACGTCATGATTTTTATATTGCTACATTTTATTTGCAGTTATAATCAATCAAATATGGGGGATAAATACATATCTCGATTTACTATGAGGTCTAATCTATGAAAAAGTTTGGAGATTTTACTCGCAGAGTCTATAATAGATGATTTTTTGAGGATGATATAACTGAATTTAGTAACAATATACAAAGGTGACTCCGACAATTTAGATAATCAATCACATAGTGAACAAATAGGTGAACGAATAGAGCAAGAAGCTGATTTGAAGAAAAATGAGAGTAAAATAACAAAAAAGTTGTTCTGCAACAAGTACAACCTGACAAAAAGAAATGAAAATGTAATGTAACTTATCAGACTCGACCAAGTATATGGCATGAGGCTGAAGTTTCTGACGTACATGATGGGTCATCTCCGATAGCATACTTCAAAAAGTATATAGTGTTTAAAAACAAAACTTGTCATAAAGTCACATTGTCCAACAAATGTGGACATTAAATCATTTGGTTGGGAATATAAATTTTTGAATTTTTTTTTTACCAAAAATATTTAAAAAAAATAGATTATTTTGTTTGCGAAATTTTAAAATAAAAAATGTAGATTAGTGACTGAAAGGGTTAAGGTAGAGTAGAACAAACTTAAGTTTGGGACAGCAAATGTTGGTTGCATACTAATCTGCGCATATAGGCGGGCTTTGTTTGTCAGTGGCGGGGGACGAAAATAAATGGAAAAATAGAAATACTTTTTTATGCACGTAATTATCAAAATTCGAAAGGTAATTAATTTGCTTTGTACAATAGGTACGTAAGTTGTTATGCTTTTTTATTTTAGAATACACATGCAGGTTACTAAATGTACTTAATTGTATCCACTAAACAACCTAACTTACGCAGCGTATATTTTAAATTATTGTAAGTTTGTCATAAAATGTAGTTTTGGAAAACTTGTTAACTGCAATAAAGTACATGTATTACCTACGTAGCAAGAGGTACTTTATAAAAAATTAGCATAAGCAAGTTTTTAAAATAAAAGGATAATTTTTAAAAATTGTTGGTTTATTACTTTTACTAGATACTTAAATTAACGTAATTTTTTTTCTTTATAGACATTTAATACATAAGAGGAGAAAGGTACAAATTAGAAATAACAATAAAAATATACACTACGATGCCTCATCGGACGATTCTTAATCTAAAAATTCTATTCCTAAACTATCAGAACTCTCATCATCTTCAGTAAAGCTTTCCTCTGATGAACCAGTGTTGACAGTAAATTTCAAGGTATCCATGGCTGCGTCCAATAAATGCTCCTTTTCGATTTGAGCATCTTCATACTTCTTGACATGGCTGCATATGTTAGCCCACTCCTTTATGGATACATCAGCAAATTTCGTTCGTGCTAAACTTACTACATCGTTTAACACGAAAGTTGTATTGTGAGATGCCACCCAATTTTTTCAATAGGGTTAAGTTCTGGATGATATGGTGGCAGGCGAAGAACTTTGTGTCCGTGTTCTTCTAACAGCTTAGGGAGCGTTCAAGTATTACGTAACGCAATTTTTTGAGATTTTTAACCCCCCCTCCCCCCCATGTAACGCGCCGTAACGTTTTTGTGAAGGTAAAAAAAGGTCAAAAGGTGACTTGAAATTTTGAGAAAAAGAAACGTTTTAAAAAATGCGTGAGAGAAACTCTCTACGCGACTTTTCTGAAGGGTTAAAAAATGCGTAACGCGTAGTTCAAACGATCCTGTAACGCATCGTAACGTTTTACAAAAAACCCCCTCCCCCCCAAATTCGTTACGTAATACTTGAACGCTCCCTTATCAAATACGTATACAGGTGGAAACTGTGGTTTATGTTCTTAAATAATTTTGTATAATTCTGGTTTTGTCAATTTGTCGTTAAACGGGATGCTATTCTTCTGTAGCCACTTAATCATAACCGCTTTACGACTACCAGACGTTACATTATTTTCAACTGTCCCCTTCTGCCAATTTTTTTCGGAGCCATATCGTCCAAATCACTTTTATTTCTAAATTAACTATGTAAATACTATAACTAAACTTATACATTAACTATTATTGCTACTCTACTACGGCACTAAATTAAAAAAATAAGAAAAAGAAAATACACCACTTGAATAAAAAAGAGCACTAGATATAACGTGCGTGAAGTTGGCCCTACCATGTTATGATAATTACACCAAAGTTGTACCAATATTTTGCAACTAATTTGCAACTTTAGGCGAACGGTATAAAAAAATTTGCAACCTTACATTTTAGTTCTAATCGCTAAAACAAAATTGGTGGGGCCAAATTCACGCAGCTCCACCACATCGTCGTATTGACCTCGAACCTTTTTCATAATTTAGCATCTAATTTGCAACTTTAGGCAACCGGTATAAAAAAATTTGCAACCTTACATTTTTGTTCTAATCGCTAAAACAAAATTGGTGGGGCCAAATTCACGCAGCCCCACCACATCGTCGTATTGACCTCGAACCTTTTTCATAATTTAGCATCTAATTTGCAACTTTAGGCAACCGGTATAAAAAAATTTGCAACCTTACATTTTTGTTCTAATCGCTAAAACAAAATTGGTGGGGCCAAATTCACGCAGCCCCACCACATCGTCGTATTGACCTCGAACCTTTTTCATAATTTAGCATCTAATTTGCAACTTTAGGCAACCGGTATAAAAAAATTTGCAACCTTACATTTTTGTTCTAATCGCTAAAACAAAATTGGTGGGGCCAAATTCACGCAGCCCCACCACATCGTCGTATTGACCTCGAACCTTTTTCATAATTCAGCAACTAATTTGCAACTTTAGGCAACCTTCGTGAAAAAATTTACAACCTCGTGGTTACGCCAGAAACGAATTCCTAAGTTGGTGGGGCCAAATTCACGCGGCCCTACCACATCGTCGTAGAGACCTAAAATTTTTTTTATAATTTAGCAACTAATTTGCAACTTTAGGCAACCTTCGTGAAAAAATTTGCAACCTCGTGGTTACGCCAGAAACAAATTCCTAAGTTGGTGGGGCCAAATTCACGCGGCCCTACCACATCGTCGTAGTGACCTCAAATTTTTTTCATAATTTAGCAACTAATTTGCAACTTTAGGCAACCTTTGTGAAAAAATTTGCAACCTTGTGGATACGCCGGAAGCAAATTCCTAAGTTGTTGGGGCTTAATTCACGCGGCCCCGTCACATCGTCGTATTGCCTTCGAACCTTTTTCATAATTTAGCAACTAATTTGCAACTTTAGGCCACCTTCGTAAAAAAAATTGCAACCTCGTGGTTAAGTCGGAATCGAATTCCTAAGTTGGAAGGTGGGCCAAATTCACGCGGCTCCACCACATCGTCGTGTAGACCTGGAATTTTTTGGGGCCAACATCTTTTTCTTAATCTATTTTATTACATACTAATATATTATTAAAATTTATAGTTACAATATTACAGTTTTACTTTAATAAATTAAGATGGTGATATAAATATAAGCACCATGTGCATATATTGTAATATTTAGTAGGTACATTTTTGTATTTGATACGCAAATCATAATTAAACAAAACAAAATAAAATATAATTTAACATTTTAAGAGGAGCATATTCTTAAATATAAAGGATATAATGAATTTGGAAATGATTATTATTATCACAGAAACTAGGTAATATTAATAAAAATAATATTTTTATCGTTATAAATTATAATTTAATACTTTGAAAATTTGTATTATGGAATTCAATTTGTTAAGTCCCAACGTCTTGTTTAATTAAAATTGTTTTAAATTTTACAGAAATGCTCTCCATAATATGTTTTGTTTAATTATGATTGGCGTGTCAGATGCAAAAATGTTGGCCCCAAAAAATTCGAGGTCTATACGACGATGTGGTGGGGCCGCGTGAATTTGGCCCCCCTTCCAACCACGAGGTTATAAATGTTTTCACGAAGGTTGCCTAAAGTTGCAAAATATTGGTACAACTTTGGTGTAATTATCATAACATGGTAGGGCCAACTTCACGCACGTCTAGATATACAACATAGCGCTGTTAGATGCAAATTGTTTCACCTATTCGCCTCTTTACGCTACGGTACTGACCATCGCCGTGTTAGAGGTTGGCATGGTAACGATAGTCAACAAATCTACAGCGCAACCATCGGATCGACACGTGGGTGTACCAAACTTAAGTTTGTTTTACTCTAGTAAGTACTATGTATTGAAATTACATTATAATTACTAAATTTAAATTGTAAATAATTCAATATAACTTTATTTGCTAAAATTTTGATGTTACAAAAAACATAGTTTCGTTGGTTTACATAAAATAAAAAAAATATTACAAATAAAATCAATATAAAATTGAGTGCAATCTAGTTAAGACATTGAAGGTTACAATTAGAACAGATAGTTTAACTTTTTTAAATGTGATTTTGTCAAAATGTTTATTATATAGTTACGAGCCTATTGTTCTTACAAGACGATATTATCGCACAAAAAAAAAAGATAAATGGAAGATTCCAAAATCTATTCTAGAAGAAAAAAGCAGGACAGTCGGCAGATTAAAAGACAATAACAGAAGTTAAAGTAGAATACATTTGCACAGCAGGTGGCCTAAAAGGCTTAAAAAGCACTCTTCATTGATATAGAATCAATAATCATCTCGCACTCCATCTAATTTACTTTCGAAGATTTAGAAAATGCCGTTATTTGAACAATGTTCATAAACACTAATTAAATTAATTTATTGTAACGATTTTTCTCCATTAATTATATTATTGCAATTAATTTGTCCAGTATTTTTTTAGACTTTTTCAAATGTTTTTAGCATTTATTGGTGGTGAAAAAATTGAATTATTTTAAAATAACCCCAATTTTGTTTTTAAAGCTTACCTTTCTCATTAAATGCCCCTCTAGAAATCAATGATTCAAAATCAGAAAGTTTCATTTCTTCCCTTTGTTTTCCGGCAGACCATAATTCATGATAACGTTCATTAATGACTGTAGCTCCAGTATTTGATAAAAAAATGAATATGGCTTCAGTGTAGGGTACTTTATCCACCATGGCCCTATAGTCAATCAAAGGTTTGAGGGCATTTAGTACTGTTTGTGGCATCAGATGCACTTCATCGAAAATGAACAGTTGTCTAGGACACTCCGTTAGGTTTCCTTTTAACCAAAGATATAAATTCTCCTAAAATAATGAATTTGTGAAGATTTTTTTAATATAAATATAAATAAATGTTTTTTTTTTGTTTTATAGTGCTTTCATAAAGTAATGAATAATTTATTTTTAGCCAAAATATTCATTTTTAAGAAAATTCCCGAAACAGGTCAATTTTTTAATTTCAATTTGCTACATTTTGAACAAAATTTTCAATTTTTTACAATTTACTTTAATGTATTTTATTATGTTATCACGTTATTTAATTTTTGTAGTAGAGGGGTACAGGGTAAAAAATCAGAAAACAAATTTAAGCGAACCTTTATTAGCAGAACTTCAAACCATTTATTAAATAAAGTGTTCCCTGTCCCTTTCTAACTTCGGTAAACTATTTAGTGAAAATGGTAGAAGTCAATTTTTATTTCTTATAAAGTACATTTCTCTAAAGGCTGTATGTCACGATACTAAATTAAGTACTAAATTTAGAACTAAATTAATGCATTTTTTAAGTACTAAAAAAATTCACGTTGCAAACAGCAAATTTAGTACTAAAAAAAGTCATTAATTAATTAGATCTTGTTCTATTTTCTACTAAATTTAGTACTAAAAGTGCGCCGAAATGTTGCGCAGAAATTTTTCATAGAAAAAGTTGACACGACGGTATTTTCTGTACCCTTTTATTTTTAATTAGCGACAATTTTACATTATCGCCTTGAATAAAGTTCGCTTGTTTGATTTTGTAGGTTTATTGTGTTTTTTTCGTGGTTTTTATGCTGTATTTGGTTGTTGTCAAGTCAACTAGTATCAAATTGATAATGAAAACACCATTTACTTCACTTGTCTGTTTTACACAGAATATTTAATTTCTCTGCTAATTTCACATATTAATACGTCAATGCGCGTGCGCCTATAGTAAATTTAGTACTAAAAATTGGTATCGTTGCAAACGGAAAAAAAAAATTTTTAGTTCTAAATTTAGTACTAAATTAATAACTTAATTTAGTGCTAAATTTAGTACTTAATTTAGTATCGTGACATACAGCCTTAATGAAAATTTTAAATGACAAAAAGGATCGATGGTAGCTTATTTGAAACGGCGTTTAATTCTCTATTGAACGGTGTACATAATTAAGCAAATTATTACTTTTTGATTCAATTAAATTTAAAATGTGTAATTAACTTTAGTTTTATTAATTGGATGACATAACTGTAAACTGATGCTTGAGTTATCAAATACTCAAAATGTTCTCCATTGACTTTTTAACAGAAAATTAAATAAATAAAGTCAAAACCTAATGAAACAAATTTAAAATTTGCACATATGAAAATGAAAACCGCAATTCTCCCTATTAAATTAAGGAATCCATTACCACATAACCCCAAGGTAAAAACAAACCAAAATATATGATGTGTCCAATACATGATTTTCCTGTAAAGTTATCTAAAAATATTGAGTGCGGCCCATCTAAAACGTATTTAGAATATGAATTATTGATAAAAATTATTCAAATAAATTTTTTCGTATCTTCATTGCGAAAAATTAATTAAAATTTTTCATGTGCTTCAAATTTCTCCATTTAGGTCCATTTTAGAAAATTATGTATATGCCAAAAATTATAGAGAATTAAATCACAAGCAATTCTTATTGAAAGAATGTTCTTCTATAATAATAAAATAATAGAAATGTACCTTAAATTAGAAAAATTACCTTCTATAAAATACCCCTAAATGCTTCGACTATGCTCAAAATCGTAATCATCTCATGGCAGGGTGAATCAAAGCTTAAGTTTAAAATGTCCGTTTTTAAGCTATCATATATACAGATAAATACACCCACACTCACAGACACACATCATCGCAACAATGGTCAAAACGGATTCAGAACACCAAAACTTGTAAAGATCCGCCGAACACTCGAAAAAAAATTGAAAAAGCCGAGAAGAAAAAATGTGCTCAAGCCAGGGATCGAACCTGGATCTCCGATTTTTCTCTTGTCTTGGCCAATTAGGCCACCGGAGTTCATTCGAGCCGGTACACACATTCTCCCCTCCCTCAGCTCTTTCACTATATAGTAGTTTTCATATTCACATTTTCAAATGCATGCTTTAATTTCGCCCTATTAATATTTTACCCCACATTAAATAACTTCTGGAAGTTGCAGTGCATGAGCAATTATTGAAACATGTTACTAATAATGCAGTTTTGATTAGTAATTAATCTGGCTTTCACAGAGGATTTTCTTTTGAATTGGCACTGCAATTTATGTTGTGTCACCTCAAAAGTAATTTCGATAAAAACAAATACACTGTTGGTTGTTTCTTTACTTACGAAGAGCCTTTGAGACTATTGATAGAGAAATACTATTAATTAAACTGAAACAATAGGGCATAGAGGGTAGTGTACTTGACTGGCTTTGTGATTACTTGCAATACTGCAAACAACGAGTTCGTTATGGTGATCAAATATCTTCTGAACTAGTGAATGATCGAGGAATACCTCAAGACAGTGTGCCTGGTCCTCTGCTTTTTATCTTGAACGATATCGAACTAGTCATAAAATGCTTTATTAATCAGTTTACAGATGATACTTTTATTGCATGTAGTGATTCAAACTTGGAAAGTGCCATTCAAAAAATGAATGATGTCTTAAAAACTCTAACAGCCATATGCATAGTCGATCGCTGCTGATACCGCCGAGATGAATCTCTGGCGAATCGCTGGCGACTTGCTGGAGATTGTCACCAGCATGTCATCTCTCGCAAGTTTTCATGTTATTTTATAGGAAAAATTAGTTTTCATTAACATGCGAGAGATGCCGGTGACAATCTCCAGCAAGTCGCCACCTTTTCGGGCTTTCGCCAGCGGATCGTTGGTGATACGCCGGCGAATCGCTGGCGATCGACTATGCATACGGGTGTAAGTAAATATTTATCAATAAATAAATTAAAACTAAATGTTGAAAAAACCCATCCAGTGATATTTACCTCTAAATACAAATATAATTTACTAAATATAAATAATATAAATTAATCTATTAACAATGAAATAATAGAAATTGTTACATCAATAAAGTACTTGGGGTTTTACTTAGAGAATTCATTAAACTTTGAAGGTCACTTTGATTATATTTACAAAAAAATATATACTTTCTTTTTTTTAGTAGAATAGCCCAAAATTTATCAGTTAACACAAGAATTACTGTTTATTATACGATCATTCAACCTCACTTTGATTATTGTGCATCTATTTTGTACTTACTAAAACTCAATAAACTGAACAGCTTCAAAAACTTCAGAACCGTGGTATGAGGATAATCTTAAGAAGTAATAGATTTAGAATAGTAATATATGTTATATTCTCTTAAATGGTTTTCAGTAAAAGATAGGTTATTTTATTTTTCCATGATTTTGGTTTATAAAATTGTAAATCAGATGGCTCCAGAATATTTGCAACAATACATCACTTTCAACAAAAATGGTTCATTCACACAGCACAGGAAATATTAATAACATATATATTTTGCAAACTTGTTATAAAAGTAATATGGATTAATTATTTTTTAAAGTTTTCTCAGATTTTAACAACTTACCCATAGATGTAAAAAGTTCATATTCTCTTAATGTTTTTAAAAGAAAGATCAAAGAATTTTGATGAGAAACAAATAGAGCTGGCTGATAATGATAACAATAGTTTTGTTGTGTTGTAATATGAACTTTTTTATATGTAATTTTTGTTCTAATATTTTTGAATTCGATAGTTTTATTGTGTTGTATTTAAAATTTTAAAGTCCTATTTAAATAATTTAGTTATAGAAAAATTTTAGCAATTGTATATTGTATTTACGTTTTCTTTTCTGCTTTTATATGTATATTAGGGGTTCCTAATTAATAAATAAATCTATCTATCAAAAACAGTTAAATAAAAATATGCTTACTCTATATTGTCTTGAATGTGCTACTTCTGGAAAATGTATCCTCCCAATAAAATTGTGTACATATTTACTTTGTAAACCCTTCTTATAAAGACTTTCAGCTATAAATGTTGCTACATAATTTTTACCACCTCCTGCCCAACCATGAAAACTTAATGTTAAGGGTTTCTGAGAATGATAATGTAGATGACTCCATATAGCATGAACTGCAGTTTCAACTAAATGTTGACCAAATACTCTTGACCTGAGGGTTGATCGCAAACCTAAAAAAATCACACAAGACTTATTATCAAATTAAACTTTTAGTAACTATTTTGTTTTGCTATTATTTTCATTACAGTAAGTCAGACAAGTTTCAAAATTGGTTCTGATACATATTTTTTTATAAATTGGCCTAAGTAGACGAAAAATATATTTTTTTTGAGTTTTAATATAAGTAATTCTTATTTGGTTCTTCTTATTTTATTCCTACATTTATAAGATCTGCTAGACTTAACATAGAATTAATTATTTCTTTAACAGAATTTAATAAACAGATTCATACATGTGAGGTTTAAATAATTAATTAATTGTTTATTAATATGTATATAAAATTATTTTATTATTAATTTTTAGGATTTTATTATTAATTTTTGACTGTAAAATTTTGGTTTAGCCATAAAGAGTTACACCAAAATGATAATTAAATTTTATATTTCATCTGTACAATTGTTCAGGTGAAATTAATTGGTATGTAAATGGATACAAAACTTTCTTGGACTCCCCACATATATTACTAATGTAACAAACTTGCTAAAATAGTATTTGCTTTAAAGAAAATAAAACATATTGTTCCATAAATAAGCAGTCATTACAGCTAATCACTGGCATTTTCATTCATAATAGTAAGCTGTGGAAATGCGGCCAAGGTTCATATGCATCTTACAAAAATCAGCAGTAAGATCTATTGTTGGAGCTAAATTTGATGAACACTGCAACCTAATTTAAAAAAATGTTTCTCTTTAATTAGTATATTTTCCGGTTAATATATAATAAAATGTCCGAATTTTTGAAAAGAACCAAAAAAATGGCATTTTGAATTCACTTCTGTGGATCAATAATTGAGCAGATAAATAAAACCATTAATTAATATAAACTTATAATGTATTTTAATGAAAGAATAATATACAAATCTAAGTATGACTGCAATCATTCTACACTAGATTTGACTTGTCTCTCTTTAAAATATCAACAAATGGTATTACAAAATAAAACTGAGTATGCAGATCAATGGAAAAAAACCCATCTATATGGTCAAGAAAATGATCTATTAAATTATATTCAAATTGATTCGATTAATCAAGCTGTTGATGCTGCTTGTATATCAAATAAAATTAGTTTAAATGAAAAACTTCGAAATGTCTTACTTCAAGATTAGAAGTATTAAAAAGAATTTTGTTTAAATGAAAAACTTCGAAATGTCTTACTTCAAGATTAGAAGTATTAAAAAGAATTTTGATCAGTTGCTACTCTTTTTGGAAAGTTATAAAATTAATTACTGTGATATGATAATTTTGACTGAATGTGTCCAGAATCTATTTCTCAATTTAATTTATATGGCTAGGCCACCCACTATGACATACTTATGAGTATATATAATGTTCAATATGTATTTACAGAATACTGTACAATTTAATCATTTTTTAGCTGTAAATATATGAGAACCTTAAATACATAAAAGAATATAATTTGTTTCAAAATCAAAAGTAACACAATGAATAGTGAAATTGCTGAATTCCCCATAAAATTACCTTTTCATTCAAAATGCACCACATATTCTCTATTTAAAATTAAGTGGTTGAGGAATAAATTTTCAAAATATATTTTTCTAAGGATGGAATTTTTTTTTTCTAAGTACATGTACTGGCAGCTCAGAATTGTGACTTGCAAATGTCACATATAAACGGGTTATTTTGACCAATGTAACTGTGCAAATTTTAGTGAATATGTCAGTGTTAAATGTATTTTACTTTTAGGTGTTTTTTTTTTGTTAAAAATTTGATAATAAGGCGCTTATCTCAAGTCTCTTAAATTAATGAAATTGGTAATCTTAAACTGATATAGACAACTTCTCTACTAGTTATGATGCCACACTGACATTTTAACCCTTAATTTTAAATGGATAGGGAGTAGCACATCATTTGACAGAACTGTTTAACAATATTAATTATGATTTAAGTAATTTTGGATATGACCCCCTTTAAAATTACTGGTTAATATTGCATTCCAACATCATCTTTTCAGTTGCCAGTAGAAAATTTGTTGATATATAGTATAGATATTTAAGTATCCCAAATGTCATTTCATTTATATATTGTTTAAAGATTACATGTGGGAAGGTACTTTATACGTATATACTTTAAACAAAATAAGTTATAATTAAACAAAATCCTGGCCTTGGTTTTCACCATGAAAAGCCAGACCAAGTTTATTTTATTAAATTTGTATACTTTTAAAATTTAATTAGTGATTTTACTTACTATTAACATCATCTATAATATAATCATTGTTACAACATTCCGTTACCAAACACAGGGGATTGTAGCTCCATGTATTTATACATTTTATACACAATAAAAATAGTGTTAAAAGTAAAATAGTTCTAATATTGTTATCAGGCATGTTTATTAATATGAGTTTTGTATATAAAAATAAACTTAGTATTACTTTTGAGGAATAAATGCGTGGTGAACTACCTATTTTTTGTATATAATTTCATAACCTATAAAAAACCCTAACCTACAATTTGGCATTCCAAGGACCTATCAAAATGCTGCCAGTGAGAACTGACAGTTTAGATATGGCAACCCTGTCGGCCTGTTGTCTGGCAAGGTCAATGATACATATATAGTTATATAGATTGCTCAAAGCGGATCGTTTGCGAGCGGCCATATTGCCTGGCAAGTGTTCATTAATTTGAATCGGTTCAGCAAAAATGTGTTTTAAAACCAATTTTCAGCCTTTGAATAGTAAAATGAAAATAATTAGCAACATTTTTAACTTCAAGGCATGTTTATTTTTAAAAACATGGATGATCAATCTATATAACTATCTATATGAGTGATTCTGTCAAATCACTAGGTCCACAGTGTTGCCATATTATAACCTATCATGTGCCTAATTACAAAATTTGCAAATCGAATGTAATAAATATTTACTAATCGATTTTATTTACGTCGATTAAACCAATGAACTGGAGTGGGATAGAAAGCCAATGTGCATATTGTATGAATAGAACAAGATGCGACTCTATGGGCGCAGCCATTTTTATTTCTCATCTCACTCGGGAGTATTTATAATAACCATTTTCTGTTTCACATTGTTATTGTTCAATCCACAAGCTGGTGGATCAGACAATAACAAAGTGAAATAGGAAATGGTTGTTATAAATACTCCCGAGTGAGATGAAAAATAACCTGTCATCGCCCATAGAGTCGCATCTTAACACATACTTTGATTACTATACGAGGCAAGAGAGAGGTCCGACACGCCCAATATAGGGCGCGGCCATTTTGAACCCTGTGACACAGTTTACAGCTAAAGAATCAGATCGCTCACTCTGCGTCGGCACTTTGGATCTCAATGTTTCAGTTTATACACTGTGCAACTCGGATAATACAATATATAACACAACCGCCTATAATAAAACAGCTGTCTTCTGCGTATCCTAAATTTGTATCCCTGGGGGTCAATTCTCGACTTGTAGGAACCTTTTCCTATAGGAATTTGTGACACTTTCCTATATGTAGGAAAATGTCATAAATTTTCGATGTATATAAAAATGTCAAAAATTCCTATAGGAAAATATTCCTACGAGTCGAGAATCGACCCCCTGGGGCTCGATTCTCGAGTTCATTGGAAAATTTTCCTATGGGAAAAGATTCCACTACTTATATTCCCATGGTAATAGGTTATGCAATTCTCGAACTTGTCGGAATAGACATTCCCATGGAAATAATAGTTTCACGTATGTCTGATATTAAGTTCACGAATATTTCGAAATAACCAATAACATTAAAGATATTTTAAAATTTACTGTTGGTATTATTTGTATTTGTTGTGGTTTTTGGGTAACCGATTACCTGCCGAGCCTCTGCGCTGGAGCAGATGCCGTGCCGAGCTAGCTTGACCGAGGACAAGTGAAAATATTCGATTATATATAATTAAAACTTATCGAGTTATTTTTAGTTTTTCTTTTCACATATTGAAAAAAGAAAAAGTAGCTTTTGTATAGAAGAGCAACGAAAGTTTCGAGAAACTATATATATATATATATATATAAGAAATTCTTTCGTTAACGGAAATAATAAAATTTTTGAAAAGGTCTTATTAAATTTACTACAAATTTCTCAATTTATGTTACCTATTTGCCAGTCTCTTAGCAGCCCCCACAATTTCTAACTAATTTAAGAAAATCAGTTTCTTAGTGAAAGATAGGTAAAAATAATATACCCACATAAATAAAATAATATCAATTTATAAATACACAAAAAAAATGTTTTAACTACAATTTCACCAAAAATTTGACGAAAGACCACGCGAAAGACTAAGACATAACCAAAGATTATTGGATATCTTGGATTTTTGGTGAAATTGTAGTTAAAACATTTTTTTTGTGTATTTATAAATTGATATTATTTTATTTATGTGGGTATATTATTTTTACCCCTTTTTCACTAAGAAACTGATTTTCTTAAATTAGTTAGAAATTGTGGAAGTTGCTAAGGGACTGGCAAATAGGTAACACAAATTGAGAAATTTGTAGTAAATTTAATAAGACCTTTTCGAAAATTTTATTATTTCCGTTAACGAAAGATTTTCTTAGTTTCTCGAAACTTTCGTTGCTCTTCTATACAAAAGCTACTTTTTCTTTTTTCAATATGTGAAAAGAAAAACTAAAAATAACTCGAAAAGTTTTAATTATACATAATCGAATATTTTCACTTGTCCTCGGTCAAGCTAGCGATTGCTCGGCACGGCATCTGCTCCAGCGCAGAGGCTCGGCAGGTAATCGGTTACCCAAAAACCACAACAAATACAAATAATACCAACAGTAAATTTTAAAATATCTTTAATGTTATTGGTTATTTCGAAATATTCGTAAACTTAATATCAGACATACGTGAAACTATTATTTCCATGGGAATGTCTATTCCGACAAGTTCGAGAATTGCATAACCTATTACCATGGGAATATAAGTAGTGGAATCTTTTCCCATGGGAAAATTTTCCAATGAACTCGAGAATCGAGCCCCAGGAGTGGATCTTATTTTGAAACTTTCAACTGGTCCGAGTGAGCTAACTGATTCTTTAGCAATAATCTGTGACTCAAAAAATAATATGCACTGACACTGACAGCCGCAAGCAAAATATCAGGTGCGTTTTAATCATCCGCTTCTGCTTCCGGAATTGTCGGTTTAGTCGTTTTAACTTGTCAAATTAAAACAAGAAAACCGACAATTCCGAAGCAGAAGCGGATGATTAAAACGCACCTATTAAAAATATTGCGCCAAGATGTAGGCAACACGTACTAAGGGTTCAAAATGGCGGGAGTTTTCTATCTCCTTTTAAAAGGCACTCAGAAAGCTGCGCAGTGCGACCATTCTCCGTATAGTAAAAGAAAATCAAAGTATGTGATTCCAATACATGATCGAATCATTTAGTAGTCTACTAGCGCCACCTTGAGTGAAATGAGCAACGTCAGGTGTCAAAAAAGATGTCAAATTAAATTCCAACCTCTTTTTGTTAAATGTTTTAATATTTATCAAAAATAAACATCAGAAATATGGCAAATGATAGGGAGATTCTTCGCGAAATTTGGGAAGGGAAATTGCCAATTTGTTTTCGTTTGGACAGTGAAGAAGTGGCTGATGTTCGAGAACCAGATCCTTTTTATTTGATGATTCCTCGACTCAGCTATTTTCCTTTAGTTACAGATAAAATAAAAAGACATTTTTTAAAGTATGTGGATAGCGAAAAATCAGAACAAGAGATGTGGCTAGAATACAATGGACAACCCTTGAAGTGGCACTATCCAATTGGGGTTCTTTTTGATCTGTTATTTGATAAAGATGAGCTATTGCCTTGGAATATTATCGTTCACTTTGATAAGTTCCCTGAGACTGAAGTCTTTAGATTTAGTAATAAGTAAGAAATTTGTACGTTTTAGATACTACAATACTATATAGTACTTATCCTTTAATTCTTAAATACCTTTCTTTCACAATTATTATTGATTTAGGGATATGGTAGAATCATATTTTATGTCGTGTTTAAAAGAAGCAGACGTAATGAAACACAGGGGACAAATTGCTGGAAGTATGCAGAAAAAAGACCACAACCAGTTATGGTTAGGACTCCAGAATGGTAAATTTTTATTTTCACTAAAATTAGCATAAAAAATGTCTCATTTTTTTGATTAGAGAATAATGCTGAATCAAAAATGTTTGAAATTTGCTTGGAATACTGATTAGAGGATAATTGTGTATATCACTTGGTGAGCCTGTATTTATATAGACATAAATTTCTTAGACTTTGAGCGCATCGACGATTCATTATAAATTGTAAATTTTTACCGGGAACATAACCTGGTACAACATAGGTGGTTCAGAACCAAATGAAAGATGTGATAGTCCAGGAAACATAGTAAGTTTTATCTTAAAATCGACAAAAACCATGTAGAATCAATTATAAATATTAAAGTTTTACCCCATATGCTGTACTATGACTTGCTTATAAAATGATATTACATTTTTAGCAATTTACTCTCTCTTGTTGCTCAAATGGAGTATAGGTAAAGCAGAATGGAATTGATTTAAATAGTTAAAATACTATATTATTCTTTAATTTGATGTACTAATGCTGCTACCTGCCGATTCATAGAGAAGGGTATAGAAGTTTTAATCGCCCATCATAATAGTTGATGGTAGCTTTTCAAATTCCAAATTTATTGTCTCGGGGGTGCCTCAAGGATCCATTTTGGGGCTGCTGCTATTCCTTATATATACTTCAGAGTTGCCAAAAGTTGTTGGAAATAGTGAAATACAATTGTATGCTGACAACACACAGATTGTTCATTGTTTTGAACCTACAGATATTCCTAATACCAATAACAATATAAATATGGATTTAGATACCATTTTTCAATTTTCCAGAGAACATAACAGTGAATCCATCTAAGACCACAGCAATCTTATTTTGTAGTAAACCGAAATGAAATATGTGAAGTGTCATTAAGGCTCGAGTTGGGTGGAGTTAGAATAAATTTTTCTGAGCAAGCCAAAAATCTAGGATTAATCATAGACCAATCACTTAGATTCAAAGACCATATTAAAATGTTACTTCAAAGATGTTATGTAAGAATACATATGTTATATGCCAACAAGCATATTTTAAACTTCAAAAAGTGTAAAAAGCTTTGTTAGTATTTCATTCTCTCAGTTTTAAACTACTGCATTACAGTTTATTACCCTTGCATTGATAAAACCTCACAAAACCAGCTACAACGTGTACAAAACACATGTAGGTATATTTTTAATCTGAGGAAATATCACATTTCCTTTAACATTAATGAACTTAAGTGGTTAAAGGTTAACAATTTATTTCAGCTACATTTTCTAACTTTCTTGTCTCTTCATTTAAAAATAGGATTCTTTTATATTTGTTTGAAAAGGTAATTTTTAGAAATGCTGTCCACAATAATTGTAATATCCGATTCTACTGCACTGTTTGAGCGTTCTTTTACCTATAATTTATGTAATTTATATATGTAATTTATGTATCTTCCTTCAATTAATAATTTTCGTTACACTATTAAAAATATTCTCCTTAACGGGCAATAAATAATTGTTTTCTGAACATTTAATTTAAATTCTATTTTATATTTTTCGCTTAATTACTATTGCCTGACAAATCTTTTAATGCTTTTTTCCATTTCTAACTACTTTTTTCCATTTATTTTTTTTTTATTTTCTTTTTTCTAAACAAAGAAGGTTAAGAGTTAAAGAGTAGCTACAGTTAATCTTCGCCTTCTTGGTGCAAATGTAATGTAATAATTTACATTATTATTAAGGAGGTCCTTTCGCCACACCTCTCGCCTCAAATGTTAAAAAAAAAATTATTAGATTATGACTAAAATTAATTTTTTTCTAATAGTTGAAGTCCTTATTTATCTAATACTGAACTTTTAACTATACCTTACCTTGCAAATTTTTGAGATTTTTTTTTTTAAAATGTGAGTATTTGTATTTGTGCCTCACGAGAAAGTTAAGTCCTCAACAACAATTCTCGAATTATACTATTATTTATTGATTAGATGGAGTAGAAAAAAACTAAAAATAAGGTTTTTGAAATATTTAGATTTTGTTTTATGCAATAAAATATATATAGTAAACCGTGGAACTTATTGAGAAATTAATATTAAAAAATCACAAAAAATTTTCAAGTAACCTAGTTGAAAATTTTTTGTGATTTTTTAATAATAATTTCTCAATAAATTCCACGGTAACCTATATATTTTATTGTAAAAAACAAAACCTAAATATTTCAAAAACCTTATATTTAGTTTTTTCTACTCCATCTAATCAATAAATAATAGTAAAATTAATTATAATTCAAAAATTGTTGTTGAAGTCTTACTTTCTCATAAGACACTGTACAAACACACACATTTTGAAAAAAAAAAAATTCTCAAAAATTTGCAAGGTAAGGTATAGTTAAAAGTTCACTATTAGATAAATAAGGACATCTACTATTAGAAAAAAAAATAATTTTAGTCATAATCTAATATTTTTTATTTAACATTGGTGGCGAAAAGGACCTCCTTAAAGGCCTTGTCACTTTATACTACATTAATGATATGGATATGAATCTTTACCCTGGTCTATCATAACCCAGAACACGTTTTTAATGTTAAAATTTTCTTCATTCCGATAAGCAGTTATTTTACATTGTTTTTAGACAAATTTGATCAATTTTGGGCTGTCAATAGAAAGCTCATGGAAGCTACAAGTGATCATGAATATTTTAAATACATTCCATTTAGATGTTATTTTGACAATGGATATAGACAAAAATTAGTTAAACCAATAGCAGAAAATGGTGCCAAAAAAACTTTACAAGATCTCATAAAAGAAATGTTTTCAGATCGACCAGAAGGTAAGTTTGAATGATAACATATAGAGTATAGGTATATGTATAATAGGATCATGAAATTCGGCATGTATGTATTGTTTTATGAATAAAATATATAGTGTTAAAAAACATTTTTTTTTTAAAGCAGGTTATAGAAAAAATCCCTTATAAATTTAATTTACAACTAGAAATCTTCCAAAACGTTTTGGGACATACTGCATTGGGTTTAAAAAGGTTAACTTGGAAATTTTATTATTGTATTGTAAATCTGGATTAGTTCATTAAACTACAATCATTGAAAATAAGGTGTAGATCGAACAAAAATTATCAAGATTTCATTCGATAAAATACTTTTGTTTTCATGCAAAAGAAAAGGTCTGTACTTATGATTTGTATCAGCCTCTGGCCTAAATCTATCAATATAATTATTAACTTATTTTAAAACAACCATGGTATGGAACACTATTGCAAGTAGAACATTTACATTACAAAATGCCAACATAAACTAATCTAAAAAAAATAAGAATATTGTATTTCAGCTACAAAGAAATTGTTCTAGAAAAAAATGTGTGTTTAAAAAATTGTTTGTAAACATATAAAATTGTACCCAAACAGATAAAAAGCATTATCAACAAAAACGCATATTTTATTTTTGCAAAGTTTAGTATTATATCCTCAACTTTTTTCGATCAGTTTATACTGGGTATTTCTAAAAAAAGGTGGACAGTTGCTAGGATAGGTAGGAAACTGCAAAATAAGTTGGGTAAACAAATTTATTCATAGAAAATTTAATTACAACGTTGCCAGTAGTTTCGACATAATCGTAAAAAATGTGTATAATTTTTTTTATTACTCTTGAAAATGGTTGCCGTTACGAAATTTTTTTTACTGAGTTACTTTTAAGAATAGCCTATTTAAATGCACTTATAAAACACAAATTAATAAAACAAAACTAAACTCACTATCATGATAACAAAAACAACAGCTAAGTTACAGAAAGTAAGTACTATCCTAATCAAGGTAAAACTTACTTATGCTGCTTTTGAATATCCACATCCGATGCATTTTTTACATCTTGAGCATTTGTTTATTCACATCGGACACATCTACTATATCTACATCTGAGTTTGTTTATCCGAGATGTAGCTGTCCAGATTACATTTTTTACATCCCGATTTGAAATGAGATGTGCGTTCAATGCCAGAAAGTAGGTGTTCTGTGAACCCTGATGCCGTTTCACTTCAGTTGGTTCAGTTACAAGTTTATCGATTTATCCTTTGTTTATGCTAGCTTGAACATAAAAGTGATTAGTTTAATTTTTGTTTAGATTTCAAATTTAGGTTGATTTCTAGTCTCAAAAGTCAAACGCAAAACGTATAAACTTGTCATTGTCATTTTTATTATGTCTAGAGCATTTGTTTATTTCATCTACATTTAAATCTAATCCTCTATCACGTGATAAAAAATTCACAACATCTCAGATGCATCCGACTAATGTCCTGTCACTCACTCGAAGTAGAAACTGAGGCTACGTAAAGATGTGTTTTATAAAATCAGAAATAAATAACATTCTTATAATTTTTGATGCAATATGAATAATTGTATTTTTATTTTAGTGCAAGTAAAAACTCATGGACTTATTCTACCTCTAGATACACCATTACAATGGCTCTCGGAACATATGAGTTATCCTGATAATTTTCTACATTTGTGTATAATATAATTTACCGTAACTAATTGTATTCTATATATTTATACTGTGTATAATAATAGCTGTATGTGATTTTGTTCATATTCCTACTCACTGTAAGGTAACTTTAAACTCCAAAATATTTTTCCCGCAATATTATTAGAATTTATTTTTAGGTTTTAATTTATACATACATAAGACTGCATTTAGGTTCTTGTAAGATTTTTTTTTTTAGTTGTATTGAAACTGAATTTTTATACTTATTTAGAACCTTGACTTAAAACACATATAGAACACAAGAACACAAAGGGCATTTGGAACATTGGGACGTTGAAATAATGAAATTAATATTTTCATATTTGAATGTAAGCAGAAAATTATTTTTTTCTTAAGTCGCCCACTAAGTAAATAATTGGAATCAGAAATACTAAAACAGTCCTGACAATGTTCTATGATGCACCATGATTATTCTATACTTCTCCTTTGAAAACTTTTATTTTAGATTAAATGCCAATATGTTTCTTTGCGCTATATTAATTACAAACTGAAGTTATTGCAGCTGGTAAAGGGAATTTTGGAAATTTAGGTTTTATCGTAGCTTTTGTAATAATTGTAAAAATGCAATACAGTACAGTATAAGACAAATAATGTAATTGTGGCACATGGTATTTTATTCACATATTTGTAAAATTTATATTATAAATAGTTTACTGATCCTTTCTTCTTTCATTACAATATTTATTTGCTATTATTTCATATTAAATATTTCGTTAATAATCATTGTGAAAGCAAATACAAAATATCGCATTTATAATAATTATATATTGTATATTTTTCAGAAATATATTTTTCGTTGCGCCGAACCATTACATTCCTTATGTTAAGATCCTCACCAATTTGTCAGTAGTTTAAAGAAATGAAGGCAGGGAGGTTAAGGCGCAATTCCACGAGGGCAACATGGAATAAGCGACAATGACGCATCCATACTCATTCTTTCAATTGAAGCGTCATGTAAGATGTATATTTGCCGTATGCCACATGTAAACACCTTCGGGCGAAAATAAAGCATGATGTTGATGTTGCATACAAGAAATTTTTAGGCAAAACTGAGGAAGAAATACATAACAACCCCAACAGATTTTACGCATTTATAAATAATAAACGAGGTAGTTCCAAAATAACATAAGTATTGAATTTTGAAGATCAAATGCTGGAGGGGCCTTCTAATATTTTAAACGGTTTTGCAAATCTGTTTAAACAATCCTATACTATTTCTTCCCCTTTTCAACCCAATTCTGGGACAAATAATAATAATCACTTTTTAAATATTACAAGCTTCAGTGAAAAGCAAGTATATGAGGCACTAAGATTACTTAAGCCAGAAAAGACCACCGGATTAGACGATATTCCAGCTTTTGTCCTAAAAGATTGTTCTTCTGTGCTTGTTCATCCTCTCTCCATACTAATTAATATTTGTTTAAAATCGGCTACAATACCAGGGATCTGGAAATCCTCTAAAGGGCTGTCCCATTTTCAAGAAAGGAGATAGACGAGATATTTCAAATTATCGACCTATCTCTATTATATGCAACTTTGCAAAGGTTTTTGAAATCCTGCTAGAACGAGTCGTCATGTAAGTTGTAATGTAAGTATAAATCAACATGGTTTCGTGAAAAGTCGTTCAACAGTCACCAACCTTCTGACCATTACCCAATATATTGCTGAATCTATATTGACAATAGAGCCCAAACTGAAGGCCTTCCACAGACTTGATCATGGCATTCTGCTCAACAAACTGGTAGCTTTTGGATTATCTACCTCTTTAATTTCACTGTTTCAATCCTATCTATGGGATCGAAAGCAATATGCCCAGCTCAATGGTTTTAGGTCTGCTGAATATAGTGCTCCTTCCGGTGTTCCACAAGGGTCGAATCTGGGACCCCTCCTTTTTATTATGTTCATAAATGATATTGCAGATGTTATAAATATAAATTTCTTTTTGTATGCTGATGATCTAAAACTATACTGCCTCGTGGAGAAGATAGGTGATTGCGAGAACCTCTCAGCAAACTTAATACGGATTGTTGAATGGTGTTATCAAAATAACTTGTCGCTAAACCCGGATAAATTTTAAGTTATGTCCTACAGTTTAAAAACGAATATCCTAATCTTTAATTATTCAATAGAAAACGGTACCCTTGAGCGACCAAAAACATTTACTGATCTTAGCGTCACGTTTGACACTGCACTATCATTTAATAAGCACATTGATAATGTTGTATCCTCCTCCTATCGCATGTACGGATTAATTGCATGTAGCAGTAGTGATTTTAAAGAAACCTCTACCTTAAAAACTATTTTATGCTTTTATAAGATCAAAGTTAGAATATGCTTCAGTTGTGTGGAGCCCCTTTTATCAGTATCGAATAGAAGCAATTCAAAGACGATTTTTAAAACTGCGAAGCCTGAAAACTGATTGCATTTATCCTCTTAACTTAACTTTTTCAGTCTCGAAAGAAGGCGTGATTATTATAGTGTAGTAGTGACTTATAAAATTATTAAAAGTATTATTGACTGCCCAACCTTATTAAGAAAGTTTAATATTTGCATTCCCAGAATTTCTTCCAGACACCCGAATACTTTTTATATAAATACATCTCTCACAAATGTTCTGGAAAATTCTCAGCTCCGTACCATGTGTACAGTGACAAATTCTATTGTCAATGAACTTGATATATTTAGTTGCAATTTGTCAGATATAAAATTCCACTTTTTATCTTAGTTAATTTGTTACCTATTACGAAATACAAGTTCTTTTTATATAAAAATCTACGATTTATTAATAATTATATTCTGTCAGTTCCTGCTCTGTAATTGGGTTTATGACCTGTAGAGTATTGTATTATAAATAAAGTTTCCCAGACATATGCGTCGTTTCTCGACAAGATTCAGTATTGACAAACTGATATCAGATCATTACGTGATTATAATATTCCAAATTATCAATTAATAAGTTTTTATGGTAGAACTAATTACTAATGAGGTGGTGTTGCAGTTTGGGCAAAGTGTAATCTAAATATTGAATGTCTTTCATTAAATCAGTAGACATTTCTTTATAACATACTACAACATACTTTTGGTTACAGCAGTATTGTGGTGACACATACCGTGGTTACCTATTATTGAATGTCATGTCAATTTTAATTTTAGCATGGTTTTGATTTTATTTTTTATTATAGTATGTTCTAATAAGCTTATAAAGAAATGCCTCTTTAGATATGCTTTGGTAACATCAGAGTAACCAATCCTTATAAAGAAATGCTCTGGTAACATAAGTATGTTCTAGTAAGTTATGGTAAGCTTATAAAGAAATGTATTGACATGAATATAGAAGTATGTGGTTTAACGTGGAATTGTAATTCACATAAAAATATTATTTTAGTCTGTTACCGGTCACCTAGTGGTATTGTTGACATAAACACTGAATCGGATCATCACACTTTTCTACTAAAATTAAATCTATTTTCTCAAACGACTGATAATAAATGATCTAAAGAAACTTGGAAGAACGTTTATGAAGCTTCTGACACAAATACTAAATTTAAAATATTTCACGATATACTAATTCATTATTTCAATATTAGTTGTCCTATAAAATTAAAAAAAAAACAGTAAAAAAACAACAAAAGATTTAACTTAGAATGTAAATATCCGCAACTCGAAGCAACTTATCCGAAAACAGTCTCCACATAAAGTACTTGTTGAAAATACAAAAAGTAATTATTATTATTACGGTAAAATTTTTAATTTCTCCAATAAAAGAAAAACCGTATGGGGTGCATAGAAATAGTATAGAAAGCCGATTCCATATATCAAAAATGAAACCATAAGGAGAAAATAGTGTGTCGGAGCTCATGCGTATAACGGTGCTGGCGCGAACAGGACCGGTGCAAGTTTTTTATTGATCGAACATATTTGTTCACACGATATTTCAATCATACATTTTTAGAGATGATTCTATACAAAAAACGATTAAAAAAATTTCAAGTTAAGGTAAATATGGTTCTGATGACAGTCCTTATTAAGAAAGATATGGCATAAAATATGAATTAGTTAATTTTCGGCAATCATTAGTACAGTAGTCATGAGATTTTGCTTGTGATTTTAAAAATACTTTCCAGAAAAACCACGTGCTCCGGTTTTGACTACGTTTATTATTAAACAGCGAAATTATATACAAAACCTTTTCTACAATCTAAATTAGGTACTATCACAAGAAAATCACTGTTACAATAATTAATTACTTAACCAAAAATTAAAATACTTTTTAGGTACCTACGTAACCAGAAAGGAGCTGGACCATTTATCCTAATATTGATTTTCTCTCTCCCTATGGTAAAACTTAAAACAATAACAAATTGCCTATCTACTAGGGTCGGTAACTAAACGTATATACATAATGGGCGGATAAATATTTACAAACAAAGATACTTTTCCAAACAGGCAATCATTAGTACTGTAGTCACGAGATTTTGCTTGTGATTTGACATCTTATTTGATAATATCATTTGCTACAACTAAATTTAATCTGGGGAGTGCAAAATAGGGCCCAGGAATATTATGTTCGATATTTTTTTACATTTTGTCAGCCGAGACTATGAGTCGTTAGACAGAAAACCTTTCATGTTACCATTTTCAATATAAATTAAAAAATAATACTACATTTACTTGGTACATATTTTATTTTAATTTTGAACCCTTTTAAAAGGGTCTTTCGGTTCCATAATAAAAATTAGTTGCTGCTTACTAGAAACATTCTATATAGCCTAAACCAATTTATAGTTTGTCTTCGATCAATTTAATACAAAGATTTAAAGTTTTTAGTCGATGATAACATTCCACACCAGCACATTGCAAACCTATTTTATAAATAATAGGAATAAACTTGTAAATCATTAATTTGGTAGTTATCTCACTCATATGATTTTTTTGTTTATATGACTATTTCGATTTCTAAATATATTTTGGCCTTACAATACGAAGCGTTTTGTATCTACCACTTTTTTAATGAACGATGAATGTTGACAGGCGTGTACCTTTTTCGGAACAAGAGGCGTTTTAACGAAGGAAATGATTTTCGAACCATCTAGTTAGTTTTCGGAAAAATAGAAAACGTTTGAAGAAAGTTGTCAATAACAGTTTGTCGTTCATGTGTTTCATTTTGATCAGCTTTCATACTAAATTGCGTAGAATATTTTTCCGATTCAAAATCGAGATTCTCGATATTTCCACAGTTTATTTATAATACCTTCTAAACTGGATTTATCTATCATTTTAT